TTTTTTTTTTTGCATTTTCGTCCTTAATTACACATTTAATTGCACAAATCATCATTTTTATCAAATTCTCAATAAAAAACTCCGAAATAACGAATATATCATGTTATTTAAATAAAAAAATAAATAAAGAATTGATTGCATCCATAGTCCCAAATAAATTATTAAAAAATTAGAATTTAAAAATTTTCTTATAAAAAAAGTGCAAATGAGTCCCGAATAAATTATTACAAAATTAGAAATGATTTTTTTTAAAGTGCAAATGAGTCTCAAATTATTAAAAATTAGCAATTAAAAATAATAGTTTTCTTTAATTTTATTTTATTTTAAATTTAAATAGGAAAGCATATTCGTCATTTCACAACTTTTATTGAGAAAATTAGATAAAAATGAATAGAAATACTGATTTGCACAATCAAATATGTAATTACGGGTGAAAATGTCAAAAAAAATGAAAGTATAAACATTTTTTTTCACAATAATAATGAAATGTGCGGACATTATGTGTTAATTATTATTTTAATAATTTATTTGGAACTCGTTTTAAAATGACATTTTACACAATGAAATGTGGAAATAAGGGTGAAAATGTCATGAAAGGTAAGAATGTTTTAAAACTGACGTTATGTGCTAATGATCCTTTTCGACAAAAATATTTTTTGGAATAGTGATTTCATGGAAAATGTGCGGTTAAAAAATAAGAAAATGTTTTGAATTTGCGCATAATATTATTTTATTGAAAAATATATTTTGAAAATAATGACAACCAAACAAGAGCTTAATTAGATCATTAAATTTTAATTTATTTCTAAAGTCAGTGCTACGTTACATTCCCTATCGTATATCATCCCAAAGTGATAAAAGTTATTTAGTTAGCAATCACAACATAACGTATTCTCCAAGCAAAAAAAATGATAAAACATGATTTATATTAATGTCATTTAGATTAAAATATTAAATACTTTTGTTTTATTAAAACCTTCGTAATATGAAGTAGTGATAAATTGACAATCTACTATTGATTACTAGCCGTCAATTAAGCA